AGTTTGTTTCAGTAGAGTGCCACGCCCACTCTTTGATGCTAGAATAAAAATTTTAACTGAAATGTAATGTTCTCATCAATACCTATCGATTGACCCAAAAAAAAGTTTGCCACGCCCACTTTAACGCCCACATACCGCGAAAACCTGTGACGCCCAAAATTGTTATGCTAGATACAAAATTTTAACTGAAATGTATTGGTCTCGACAATACCTATCGATTGGTCCAAAAAAAAATTTGCCACGCCCACTCTAACGCCCATAACGCTTAAATCTGTATACCGCCGGTAGGTGGCGTATTTTACTCTCGCTTTGCTGCTTGCATATCTCCATTTAGCTGAGTAACGGGTATCTGATAGTCGAGGTACTCGACTATAGCGTTCTTCCTTGTTTAATTTGATATCAAAAGTTTTTGTTTTAAATAAAAATCATAACATGGGTCTACTTTCCCAAAAGAAGTAGAACCGAAGTTTCTTATATGGATCTGTTTAAAACATTTTTAATGATTCCATTACTTAAAACAGAGCACAGGGGTGCAGCGTTACTAGATTACAAGTTACGGGCGTATGAAATGTAATTTAATTTAATTTTATTTTTATTTTTCCGCTAACATAACGGTGTTTTCCAAAAGTGGTGAAACTAAAGTTTCTTAAAATGAACTGTTTGCTTAACACTATTTTAATAATTCGCTCAGGCAGCGATAGCTATAAACTGGTAAGTGGCAATTTTTGTTGATTATTAACTTTCAAAGGTTACTTTTTACAACAATGAGTTATATTTCAAAAGTTGAGAAATCTTAAGGACTATACATTTTAAAGAGATCTCGTTAAAGCCGTTTTTGAGCAATAAAAAATAAAAAGGAAAAAACGCTTGTCCGTAATTGTTAAACTAAGGTATTTAGACAAATTATGTTAAGCGTCCGTGAATCGTATTTCAAAATATATTTTCAACGACATATAGCAAAGGTCCTATAGCTTTAGTGGTTCAGAAGTTACAGCATTATCTATAATAATGTTATTTATAATATAATAATTGTATTTATAATATAAATATAGCTATTTATAGCTGTTTTTCCGCATGTGTTAAGCAACTATATACAATTTGCAGGACGCTAAAACGTTTTGGGACAAACAGAATAAAATTTGCATTCTGAAAAGTCGGTTAAAATCTAGTTTTGCGGATAATTTTAGAACGCATTTTCGATTGGATTCAGATGTTGACAAATAAGGTGTCATTCGACGCGTATTGTCAGCAGGAATTTAATGAAATGGCACGAACCCCCTGTCCCCAACAGCTACCATTTTCTACCTTCTTTACTTTTACACTTTCCCCGCTCTTTCTCCCAAACAAATTGGTTTTTTAAAGTCATGGTAAGCAATCCTTTAAGTTTTTACAATATCTTTCGATCAGTGTACCCCTAGCTAGGGTCGAACTATCACAGTAATTTTTTGTTTCTACACAGTGATAAGGAAAAATGCGAGAAAATTGTTTATTTCTGTGTGAACCTTGCACAAATGTGTCTTTTAAATTTTTTAGTTTTTGTGGTACTTACCATTTTTAAAAATTTTTTTTATTGCATTTTAATGGTTTTATTATCAAAATATGTATATCGAATTTGAAGCAACTAGCCCTCTGTTTTTCACCGAATGCACATGCACGCTTATACATGTCGCCACAAAAATTGTGATCGACCTTGTAGAAATCGGGACAGGATCTTAAATTAGTTAGTTAGTTTGGTACAGTAAAATATGTAAGGTATTGCCATAGTGGTCAAGACCTTTTCTTGCTTTCTTGAAGCTCAAGCTTTAGTTTGTAATACCAGTAGGAAAAAAGAGATGTTGGTACCAAGATTAAAATGTGATATTTTATAGAAACACAACTCTGCAGGACGAACTAAAAATGCTTTAAAAATGGTAACAGTGGAAGACGTCTTACAAATGAGAACCTGTCAGGTACCTGTTACTCAGCTAAAGGGAGTGCGAGGGATTTAATCTTCATTCATTATTTGTTTATAATTTTTAAACGTACGATCAAGCGGAATCTAAATTTTTTTGGAAAGGAGATGGGTGTTGATAATAATGAAAACAAAATTAAGTTTTCTTAACAAGTAACGGATATGACTACATGCAATCAAAATAAAATGTACCCTAAATTTTAGAAAACCGCCATTCAAATCTCTTTTTTCTAAATACAAGAAATTTTTTTTTTTAGTCAAGGAATTTTTTTTTTTTAAATCAAGAAAACGCTACTTAAATATAAGAAATGTTAACCATAAACTAGAATCGCCCTATAAACAAGCAAAATGTCCTTACATATATCTAGAAATTATTTTCTAAAAGTAGAGAGGTTAACGAAAAAATGAAATTGTTCTGCAATACCTTTTCTAAAAATGATTACCTAACCCTAAAATTATTCTTACCCTAAAATATATAAACATTTTCTAAAAAATATAAATATTTGTTTTTGCACGATCGGTCGTACCGAAATATTTAATTTCAGAACTTGTCAGCGGCCGGGCTGCTGTATCTTTAGCGCAGGCGGTTAAAGCGTTTGGTTAGAAATCGATGTGACGCAGGTTCGTTTCCCAATGCTTAGATACCTATGTGTAACGCGAGTAGTACCCCAGTCGGACCGTCAGGCATGTGGTGCTTGATTTCACAAAAATTTCCATAGGAATAATTCAGGGGTTGGCACCACGTGAACTTTTTCAGGGGGTTTTAGGCCTTTTTCCATAGGAATTTCCTATGTAAAGCGGTCGCGAACGTTGCAGTACTGAACATTTTGGACAGCCTTAATAAAAGCGAATGGATTTTGTCCATAATGGGGATGTGAACCTGCAGCCCTTTTCAGGTCCGACTGGGACAGAATACGGTTTGCTGAACCCAACTTATGTGCGACAGTGGCCCAGTACGTACAATGGCGAAAAAAATAATAGCACCACTTCCATACATTTTCTTCTGGGTAAAATAAAATTGTTTTCAGTGTCTGTTTTTTTTCAACACAAAATTTTTTTGTACTCTTTAGTATTCTTTTTAACGAAAGAATGTGTTAGCTTTTTTTTTAAATCCTGCCTATAAATTTATTTTTAAGAGTTTAATTAAAAAAGCCCAAAAAAAGGCGAAAAAAATAGAACCACTACAACATTAGCAAAAACCCCATATTTTGGCGAATAGCCTTAATACAAAGCACGGTTCAATTAAATGTATCTATAATTTCAATATTTTGAACATAAAAAGATTGATAATACCATTGAAAAGGGACGTGGAAAGCATTGCACTGAGGAAAAGCGTGATATCATTTAAAAGTTGATAAAGAATGGAAAATCTTACAGAGTAGTTGGTCGATTGGTCGGATATTTAAATAAAATAATTAAGAACGCTCTAAACTATAAAGAAAAACCTGAAACACGAGGACGACAACAATCTATGACCCCACTTCACTTCAATCGATTGATTCGTCAGAGCAAGAAGGATCCTTTCAAATCTGCTACTGAGTTAAAAAAGCGGCTTAAAATAAATGCGACGGTGCAAACTGTGCGTACATATCTCAGGGAACATAACCTAAAAGCCTGCAGCCCGAGAAAGGTACCACTTTTAAATGCCAGACATATTTCTAAGCGAAGAAGTTTGCCGTATGGTATGGGCTTGCTTTTCCTATTACGGAGTAGGCCCGATACATTGGATCAAGGCCATCATGGATCAGCACGTATACGTGGATATCATGGATACCATTATGGTACCTTTCGCAGAGTATAAAATTCCGCTCGTCTAAGTCTTCCAACAAGATAATGACCCCAAACATACCAGCAAGAAGGCAAAGAAAAGGTTTGGGGACAACTCTGTGTTCATTATGGAGTGGCCTCCGAAGTCTCCAGACCTTAATCCAACAGAGAATCTATGGTCGGGCGTCAAGAAGGCAGGCGCTGCATCAAAACCAACATCCATCGGATCCCTTTGGGGAGTAATTAAGGAGTCCTGGACCCAAATTTTCATAAAGCGATGCAAGAACCTAGTTGACCCCATGCCAATACGCTGCGCAGATGTTATTTCCAATAAAGGATACACCACAAAGTATTAAATGAAGAAAATAAACATAGATTTAACAGTTCAATATTGTTATCTCATGAATATTGGTAGTTCCTATAATTTAAACCCATTTTTGAAAAGTGCTGCTACTTTTTTTTTGTTAAGTTTTTCAAGTTTTAATAAAGTTTCTTAAATAATTTAAAAACTGAAAAAGAAATCAACATTTTTTTTCACTTTCTGATACTTTGTTGCAATTCGACTCCAAAAAGGTATTGCATGTTTTGACAGAGCCAAAAATATAGATAGGGTGACTATCCAAACGTTGCTCAAGTAAGTGGTGCTATTATTTTTTTCGCAGCTGTAAGTAATGTGTTCGCTCTTCGAGCGTAAGACTCGGGTCCGATCCCTCCGGCAGGCAAATAAAAATGGTGATTTAAAAAAAAAACAAATTATTAACTAATATATCAGGGTCAGTTGTATACTAACATTCTTGAATGAGTGCCCTAAAGCCGTTTTCATCGATGGGAGCCTTTTATGTCGTTATAAAGGACTCTAACCATGCAAAAATGCACGGCACATGACGATACAAAGCTTTGAGTGGCCAAGTTTAGGATAAGGTCCTTGGCAAGGGTATCCCAACTTTTCAACGGTATTGTAGATGCCGATAACTCAGCGCCATACGAAAAGCCTGATCAAAAATATACCCTTTATAGGGTCGGAAACGCTTGCTTCTACCAGTTACATATCTTCTGACGAGTGCAATACATATATTCTTTCACTCCACATATATATATATGAATAACAGGTAGAAAATGGTGTTCCGCATTAGGTAAATGCTTAATTTAGGTTTTATTCAGGGGTGTTTATTGTAAGGATACAAGGATAATTTGATAAGGATACAAGGTGATACTTTTATAACTTTTCTCCAATCAAAATATCTTTTCTACAAAACTGAATCAATTGTTTTATAAAAAGTACCTTTGGTTGGGCAATGTTGCCTTATACGGATCGTAAGTAGACTTCTGCACTCACTGTAACACTTTCGTTAAGAACTGAACGTGTTTTAATCATATGGTTTCCTTTTATTCTGTTTTAAACACTTAAACACACCATTTATCGCTAAGGTTACATACAGCTACATATTTAACAGAGGCTGATGAATAAGAAAATACATTTAGATAGCCTCCGGTTTTAGCAGAAATGTAATACATTTATATGTACATCCTTGTGTACATATGTATGTACAACACACATGATTTCAATAGTAGGGAACAACCTTGAACCGTGAAAAACCAAGTGCTTTTATTGTCTCCTAAGTGTTAAAAGACGAATTGTATTTTGTACTTCGAGTATTTACCTATTTGATAAAATATATTGCAATATCAACGTCTCTTTTTTTGTAAGACCGTAATGCATACATACTAATACACTTAAACCACTAAACGAAAATTGTGTACAACGTAAAATACTATTTCATTAAGTGGGATTGGGATATTACATACCTGTCCATACCAAGGCTATATCACAACTTACTTCAGCTGTTTTGTGTTGTTTCGACGAAAAGCGAAAATAATAAGAAGGAAAAACGCTATAGTTACGTTACTCAGCTAAAGGGAGCAAACGGGATACACAAGCAGCAAAGCGAGATTTTAAAGCGCCAACTACAAGCGATTTTAATATCTGGTAATGTGGGCGGTAGACAGATTTAAGCGTTGTGGGTGCTCGCGGGCGTTAAAATGAGCATGGCAAAACTTTTTTTTAGGTCGATAGGTATTGACGAGTCCCATAATGTGCAGTTAACATTTTTTTCGAAATACCAGAAAAATACCAGATTTTGTGAGAGAATTCATATGAACGCCGTTAAGCCTAGTACTCAGATCGGCTAAGAGTTTCACTAGCCGAAAAATCGTATTCTTTGTAGTGTGACCGAAATTTTCAAAGTTCACCCACACTGCGTGTAGCATGGTCTTACTGTCAAGCAGCTGGGTTTGTTGACAAACAGAAAACACATCAATTGGAGCAATTTAAAAAAAGAAGAGTCTGCTGGTGCACAAAGAAAATAAAATAAAAATATATGGAATGTTCAACGAATGTTTTTATTTATGTAAATTTGTAGTTTAAAGCTTCCTTCTCGTCCCACGGATGCTTCGCCATCTTTCACGCGCCACCGCAGTCCAGCTCCAAGTCCCAATAGGCATATTGAACCTTGAGAAAGTGGGAGCCGGATTGGGAACGGTGTTGACCCGCTGATGCTGCAGAAAGTCGCCCAGCATCCTGGCAACGGCTGGCTATGACTTCTCCAACTGTTCCTCAGCGGGCGTCCTATTTTCCTCCTCCCTATAGAAGCCAGAGGGTCCTCCAGCTCCGCTTAGGCTGCCAAGTAGCTGGTGGTGTCTGGAGTCCTAATGGAAAGGTTGTCGGAGATCGTATTACTGGTGGTTCTGCTAAAAAGATACTTATATTAGTATAACGCAACCAAATTCTTTTGGCCAGATCTTACTTTCTTTGCGAGGACGCGCCCGGCAGGATGTCCATGTTGAGATTTAAGTCCCACTCGGCATATTCCTTTTCACTGGGATTCTTTAGTGGATCTCCTCCAGCCCTTCAACTATTCTGCGGATTTGCCCCTCTTGGTTTGCTTCCTGTCGGTGAAATCGCACAATAAAGGGCAACCGCTTGGATTAGGCGTCCTATTTCATCTGCACCCATTTCGGGGTTTTCCTTCCATTTTTGATTTTTAAATTCCCCACGCTTCTGCACGAACACCGTCAAAGATTAAATTTCATATTCTTTTAGCCGCGGCTAACGGCGTTCATCGAAAATTCACTCGCGAAATCTGGTATTTTTCTGGTATTTCTTTCGCTCATCTGAGTACCGCGCTGAAAATCAGACCCGACGAAAATCTTTAGCCGCCTGTTTGCCTCTCGCTCACTCCTACGCTTAGCTCGCGGTTTTCGTCGATCTGAGAACTAGGCTTTAGTATTGAAACTCTTAGCCGATCTGAGTACTATGCTTTAGGAATTTGGGGGTGTACAAAGCATGTAAATGTTTTTATCATCGCTGACATTACTGTCTTGACGCTATTATATCGTTTTTTCATAATAAAAGGTAAGGCAACGTGCTACTTGATTCGCTAAAATCTTGTTTTATTGTTCTTCTAAGTTTGCTGTGCTTAATCGGTCGCGAAAATTTCATGAAATCATATAAAATCGATTTAATAAATTTGTATACATCACCGCATTTTTGCCTGCAGCTCCAATAAATGAGAGCAATTGTACTTTATAGATTTTATTTTTCACATTGACATATCGGTCAAAAAACGAATATTATAACACGTATGAAAACGGGTCCGCCAACAAAAATTTGTTGAAAATAGTATTTATATAAAAGCGTTTTGTAGGCCTAAAAGTGGAAGTGATTCAGAAAAATGCAGACAACTGAAGTTCAGGAAAGCGGTGAATAAGAATATACCCCTTGTTTGAGGCTATTCACAAGTCGAATGCAAATTACAAGTCGATTGGTATCATTGCAACAGTGATTTAAAGTAGCCTAAAGCCTAGTACTCACATCGACGAAAACCGTGAGCTAACCATAGGAGTGAGCGTGTGGCAAATACGCGGCTAACACTTTTCGTCGGGTCTGTTTTTTAGCGCGGTACCAGAAAAAATACCAGATTTAGCGAGTGAATTTCGATGAACGCCCTCAGCCGCGGCCCAATCCGCGCGTCCATTATTGTAGGACTTCACCAACAGGAAGCAATACCTCAACAAGACAACTCCGCAGATTAGTTGAAGTGGTAAAAACATGCCGAGTGAGACTTCGCTCCCTATATGGACATCCTGCCGGGCGAGTCCCTGCAAAGAATGTAAGTTTTGGCAAAAACAATTTGGTAACGTTGTACTAACAGAAGTATATTTTTAGCAGAACCACCCGTATTACGATCTCCGACGAGCTCTCCATTGGAGAACCACAGGACTCCACCACCACCAGCTTCTTCGAAGCTAAAGCGGTGGGCGAAGGGCGCCCACTAAGGGACAGCTGGAAAAGCCATTGCCATCCATTCTCAGGATGCTGGGCGACTTCCTCAAGGTAAAATATGCCTATTGGGATTCGGAGCTCGACTGCAGATGGCGCTGGAAAGTTGGCGATGCATCCGTGGGACGAGAAGTATGCTTTAGGCTGCTAATTTACATAAATAAAAATATTTGTTGAATATTTGTATTTTAATATCTTTGTGCACTAGAAGACTTTTCTTTTTTAAATTGCCTAACACTCACTACAAATAACAGGATTTTTCGACTAATAATCATTTCGACGAAAACGGTTCGCCATTTTCGAAGGGAAAATGAGCTGCTAACGTTTTTTGTCGTCTCTTTTTTTCCCAAATCAAAATCAGATAAGCTACGGAAATACCAGACAAAGTACCAGATTTCTTGAGTGAATTTTAAGAGCCGCCGCAAAGAATAAAAAATTAAATCTTTCTGTTTGTGCAGAAGCTGTGTCGGATGAAATAAAACAAATGTAGGGGAGAAACACGACAAAAATGCCAATGGGAGTTAAGTGTAGATATAAAAGTATGCATAATCTAACCTACTGGACCTAAGTAAGGATTGGAGAAATTCCATGAAAGAAGCTCAATGGTAAGAAACATACCGAGTGGGACTTCGCATCCTATGTGGATTGTTATGTGTGCGCTTTCATAGGGAGGAGAAGAAAGCCGCCAGCCAGGAAAGTGGAATTGATTGATGTTCACAGCCCAACTGATTGACCGTATGGTCAACTACGGATGAATTCTGAAAACTTTGGTCACACTCTAATGAGTAATTCCGCGCTGCTATTAAGAAGCCCCTTCCATCTGAACAGGCTATAACGTTCCATGGTTGGTTGCGTTGCCATTCTGTGGAAAAGATGCGATGTATTTGCGACGTAACAGTGACTACATAAAAGGTTCATCTCTAATTATAAATTGAGTTGGCAAAAACATGTAAACGTTGATGAATTATGCCCATTTAAATCTCGTTGGGCAACCATGGCTGAAGAGACAATAATTCTTGTTTTGTTAGTTTTGGTTATGCTTGTTGGGTCATATTTGGCAGGGAGCATACCGATGTTGATGAAATTGAGTGAGGTTCGTATTTTTACACGAGGGTGTCACAGAAATCTGGTGAAACTTGTATGATGGTCACGTACATTTCCCCTGAATTTCAGCAAAAGTTTTCTGTGAAACCCCAGACAAATAAGATTTAGAATATGCCTCAACTGTTGTTATCGCAATATTACCCTTTAAGGAAAAACTGAAATTTGTCACTGTGCTTGGCGCTGGATTATTAGTGGGCACTGCTCTAGCCGTTATAATACCAGAAGGTATAAGATCATTGTATATGGGTAATGGGCGACCTCAACAACCAACTCCTGGCCCAGAGCATCAAGATTACTCACAAACTATTGGACTTTCTCTTGTGCTTGGTTTTGTCTTTATGATGTTGGTGGATATATCACAACGGAAAAGCAATGTCGGAAGTGACAAAAAAAACAATGCTACCCTGACTCTTGGATTAGTGGTTCATGCTGCAGGTAACCAAACTTTTTTTTTCCTTGGAAGCTCTAAATTAGTTTTTTTTGCAGCTGATGGAGTAGCTTTGGGTGCAGCAGCCACGACAAGCCATCAGGATGTTGAGATAATTGTATTTTTAGCTATAATGCTTCACAAGGCACCGGCAGCATTCGGGTTGGTTACCTTCTTACTGCATGAAAAAGTAGACAGGCAGCAAATTCGAAAGCACCTGGCTTTGTTTTCCTTATCGGCTCCGCTTTTGACTATTTTAACGTATTTTGGAATCGGCCAGGAGCAGAAGGAGACGTTAAATTCAGTAAATGCCACTGGAATAGCTATGCTATTTTCCGCAGGAACGTTTTTGTACGTTGCCACTGTTCATGTTTTACCAGAACTTACCCAAGGGGGGTTATCACAGAGCGATCAGCATAATTATCGTTTGCTAGAGGAATCTCGTGATGTTGCGAATGACAAAAATGGAAGCAGTAGTATACAAGCGTTAAAGTATAGTGAATTAATAATTATGATTTGTGGTGCGCTGCTTCCGCTAGTTATAACATTTGGACATAAGCACTAGAATATCATACCAACATTCCTGTCAAATAAGATTGTGTAAAAATTAAGAGATAATATGCAACATACAAAACTGCTATAGAAATAGCGGAACTCGTGTAGAAATTAAATTGATGCACGTAAGAAACCACAAATCTATTTCTGTGGCACTCACTCTAATTTGTGCAATAACTTTAAGGCAACTAAAATATTACAGTTGAAATAAAATTGTAAAAAGGTGTTTGGTAAAATGTAATGGTTTTAAGGGACTTTCCCCCTGGACAAATTAAACCAGCTGAATGAAGCGTTTGTTTATTTATTTTTGTAGGCTAAGTGCTGAACATTTTTTTATCTGGCTTGTCTAACTTATCGGGAGTGCCACAGAAACTGCTTAATTTTGGAAGAATTATATTTATTTACGTAAGGATTCCGCACAAATCAGCGCCGAATGTATGAGAATTTTTGGGTTACAGGTACTAAAGGAATTTAAAGAAAAAAAGACCATTAAAATAATAATTGCTCCTTTGCAAAAGTGAAAATAATATAGATACTCCTATTTATGTTGGAAATGTACAGGAAAATACTCGACAATATTTTAAATAGCAGTACATTTCCGACTTGAATAGGATCTTCAATATCACATTCGCAAAGAATTACCGGACAAACTAAATTTGTGTATACATTTTTCCTATTTCTCGAGGGCCGACTAACCTGGTTTTCTCGACCAGAGATAAAGCTAGCTCTGACAGGGACTTAGACTCCTTGCTATGGATTGTTCGGCCGATTAAATTACAACTGATTTCACAAGGACTACAAAGATGTAATTATAAACGTTACTCGTAGAGTAAAAGGGTAAACAATATTCGTCGGGGAGTATGTAACAAGTAGAAGGAATACTTGAATATTGTAGAGTAATGTCATCTTTTATTTGTTATTGTAATTCTTTATTTAAAATCCTGTCCCCATATAGAGTAGACATCTTTTATTTGTTATTGTAAATCTATATTTAAAATCTTTATTCAAAATCTGGAGCAGCATTAGTGCCTCTTACAACGTCAAGTTGTTTCTGACTTGACAATTCTCCTTAGGTTCTAAGTAAGCCTAAGTCTCGTAGCTGCGCTGCCTACAGTTGGATGGCAGAGAGACGGCTATGTATATCTTATGTAAGTGTATTTAATTATGCTCCCTTTAGCTGGAGCGCGAGGGCATATGTATGTACTTGAGTTTGGCTGACACTTGCACTTTCTGTGAGCGCGCCGATCGACTCATGTTTCGGCCACTTAGGTTTTTGACCGGGCCTTTGTTTATGTGAACACTGCAACAAAGTGTAATTTTCTGAAAACTCGGCGGTGTAACTTTGTAACTCAGAATTGCCAAAATATTGAAAATATTTATCCTTGCCCCACAGGGAGTGTTTTCATTTCTTGGATAAAATTACTAAGAAAAAAGAGCACAAAAAAATTAAAAACATGTACGCCTTCGGCACAATATTTCGATTCAGAAAAAATGTACATTAAAAAATCTCGTGAGTGACTGTCTCGAACAGAATGAAAATACTTTAAAAAATCTGACATTGCCAGAAATCGATCAATAACTTCTTTTGAAGGTGTTTAAGACTAAATTTTTATAGTGTCGTCCTGTAGTGTTCTAAGGTATCTTCATTAAAACCTGCGCGGATTTTAAATGAGCCGTTAATCTGCTATTGCCACAAACTATCCTTGCCCCTTACCTAACCTTACCCCACCCTCCCTTATATAGTGAGCTAAAACTCGGAAAAATTTTAAAACTGAATTTTTTAACAATTTAGTGACTGTCAGCCGTCTGTTGATATTGTAAAAACTCGAAAAAGTACGACAAAAACAGAGATATGTATAATTTAAAGCGAAACGAACCAAACAAGCCATGTTTGGAGAAAAAGCATGGTAAAATAGATTTAATATTATTTAAAATTTGCAAGGCCCATAACAGAACTTCGCCTGAAACTTTAATTTCACTATTGACCAATGTAAGGCGTTCATGTTATTCCCTTAGGCGCCTTGCAGTCACTAAATTCTTAAAAACTTCCACATTTTCAAATTTTGCCGAGTGGTAGCTCTCAGTGTACTTAATAACCCTATTCAATTGTTCGACAAAGTTAAACGGTGGCATAATAGTTGTAAGCTAAATCATGTATCACCTAAATTGGTCAGGCGAAATACGAGATATAATTAAAAACTTGGAGATACCAACAAACTTTCTTAAAAATCTTTAATAAAATTGTACCCATAAACAATTTTTAAACTCTTTTTGTGTGATGTAGGTGTCCAGCTCTACCAGGAACTACTCGTACAATCGCCCTTCTTGGAGCATTTTCAAAATATTATTTTGAAATCTATTGTAATCAGCAATCAGGTTTATTTTGCTGAACGATCACAAAACATTGTGACTGCAAAAAAAAGTAAATCATGGGCATATCAGCCAAATGGTAAGCCAGGACCGAAAAAAATCTTCATATTCATTGTATTTTTTTTTATTTTTATAAATAAATGGCCATATTTTCATAATACAGTGGAACCAAAGCATATTTCATTTGTTTTTGAAGACTTTTTTAGCTTCTTTTAAAGGCATTTTTATGTTTAATTATTTCGCAAGGAAAACATGATATGTTAGCACTTTTTGTACCAAATCTCTTTATCTAATAAGAAGATAAAACTCCGAAGAGAGCGAAAAAATTTTCAATTAACTGTTAATAAAACAACATAGAAAAATCGTACGTTCGCGACCGGTACTTAATTTAATAAAAGAAAACAGACTCGATAGAAAGCTACATGAATCCATTTCAAAAGTAAAGTTATTGCTTTAGAATATTCCGTCCCAATTTACTAGATTAAGTTCAAGTCGACTTCCATTTTGCGTACGTTCGCAAACGAATGTTTTTTGCCAATATTATGAAAATGATAGCTCTATAAACCTCATAATTTACATTAAGCAAAGAGCTAACAAAATGCTATCGAAAAGCATGTAAAAGTTTCAAAAATCGTTTTTTTTATTTGCGTAAGGGCGTACGAACGTACGTTCGAGACTCGTGGAAATTCCCATATGTTACTTCAAAAACATCACCAGACAATTTTAAATGCTTTTAAACAGGTCATAGGTTTTATAACTTTTAAAGTGCGTTTAAAAATCGATATCTTTTGCCACAGCACCTTCTGCCTAAACAATTGTAAAGAATTTAACTCAGTTCTTATCGATATTTCACTCATCGATACACGCCAGCAGCAAGAAAAGGTAGCGTACTATTTTTATTAATTATCTTTTTTATTAATTATGATGCAAATACTCTTGCATCATGAAGTATCGTTCGAATTCCATCAGTGATCAGGTATCATGTTGCTCTGTTGAACATTAACAGTACTCTGTCATTGTTTCTCAAGAGTCGAGAACCCCGATAGACTTTTACGACAACTTAATCTGTTCCTTGACTTTTTCGTACAGATATGAGCTATCTTTTTTACGGTCTAAAAGAATTCTTGAATTTCTTGCAAAGGAGTTGCAACAAATTACCGACTATGCACTGTGGGGAATTTGACCACTTTCTTTTGGGCAAAAAGTCGTTTGAAATTGTATTTTTTTATCACAATGTATTAAGACACATCAATCTCAAAAGTTACCAGTAGAAATTTTAAACAGAGCGCATCATTGTTAAGTCATCAGCATTAAAAGCACGTTTTTATTTCAAACTTAAATTTTAAGTTTTTAAATTGTCAAAAAGTGTAAAAATAAACAATGCATCGCAGTGTTTGAAATACAGTCCACTCAGAAGGGCTTGTAACTGATAATTGCGACCTTGACAATGTTTTTATTTATTGTGGTGTTCGTTTAATCGTATAAAAGTTCTAAGCTAAAAAAAGCTTTTAGTGAATTAAAATTATTAACAGTGCTACAAAGTGATTCCAGCTCTTTCCACCTCTGAATCCTTTTTTATTTTGTACAGTATTTAATTCACATTAAACTAACTTAGTTTTGAAGAACAATTTTGCGCAATTTCACAAAAAATACTTTCCGACCCAATAAAATGTGTACATTCTTGATCAGGATCTGTCTGTATAAACGCTGAGATCGCGGAAACTATTGGACTTAAATAATAGGATTAAGCATGCAGAATCTTGGGCTTCCACCGCAGGTACATTTTTTTTGCCAGCAGGGTGCCATGCTCTCTAACGCCCAAAAACGGCCACAGTGCTCTCCTTTTCTTTTTTTAAGTTCTAACCTCGAAAAAAATTAAAAGCATTGAGGGAATTTGAGTTTTTAAACAGAGCTACAAAGTGATTCGGCAACGTTACCGACCCCATAAAGTATATATGTTCTTGATCAGGATCACTAGCCGAGTCGATCTAGCCATGTCCGTCTGTCCGTCTGTCTGTCCGTCCGGATGAACGCTGAGATCTCGGAAACTATGGGAGCTAGGCTATTGAGATTTGGCGTGCAGATTCCTGAGCTTCTTACGCAGCGCAAGTTTGTTTCAGCACAGTGGCACGCCCACTCTAACGCCCACAAACCGCCCAAAACTGTGGCTCCTACAGTTTTGATGCTAAAATAAAAATTTTAACTGAAATGTATTGTTCTCATCAATACCTATCGATTGACCAAAAAAAAAGTTTGCCACGCCCACTCTAAAGCCCGTAACGCTTAAATCTGTATACCGCCGGTAGGTGGCACATTTTAATCTCGCTTTGCTGCTTGCATATCTCCATATACATAGCTGAGTAACGGGTATCTGATAGCCGAGGTACTCGACTATAGCGTTCTTCCTTGTTTCTCCTGTAATTACCAAAAGTTATCTCTTAAGTGATTTAGAAACTTTAACGCCAACCTATTCTCCGGGGCCAGATGGACTCCCGGGTGTTTGCTTAAGTTTAGTGCCCGAACTATTTGTAAACCCATTCTTAAACTTTTTAATTTGTCTATCTCATCTATCTATCTCATCTGTTTTTCGTACTATCTGGAAAGATTTTTTAATTATTCCACTCCACAAAAAGGGTGCGAAGGTTAATGTTCAGAAATATAGAGGAATCTCCAAATTGTCATTTGCAACATTTGTACTCTTCTTTGATATCTCCTTGTCAACATGGTTTTGTTAAGAGAAGATCGACCACCACTAACCTGCTCGAATTGACATCTTTTGTAAGAGATTGATTTAACAAAAAATTGCAGACAGACGTTATATATATACAGATTTTAGTAAAGCCTTTGACTCTGTAAACCACTGTCTTCTTTTATTCAAATTAGATCAGCTCGGGCTTCCGAATAATCTGTTAAGTTATAT